AAATGGATCAAAGACTTGAATGTAAGTCATGAAACCATAAAACTCTTAGAAAAAAACATAGGCAAAAATCTCTTAGACATAAACATGAGTGACCTCTTCTTGAACATATCTCCCTGGGCAAGGGAAACAAAAGCAAAAATGAACAAATGGGACTATATGAAGCTGAAAAGCTTCTGTACAGCAAAGGACACCATCAATAGAACAAAAAGGTATCCTACAGTATGGGAGAATATATTCATAAATGACAGATCCGATAAAGGGTTGACATCCAAAATATATAAAGAGCTCACAGACCTCCACAAACAAAAAGCAAATAATCCAATTAAGAAATGGGCAGAGGAACTGAATAGACAGTTCTCCAAAGAAGAAATTCAGATGGCCAACAGACACATGAAAAGATGCTCCACATCACTTGTCATCAGAGAAATGCAAATTAAAACCACAATGAGATATCATCTCACACCAGTAAGGATGGCTACCATCCAAAAGACAAACAACAACAAATGTTGGCGAGGTTGTGGAGAAAGGGGAACCCTCCTACACTATTGGTGGGAATGTAAATTAGTTCAACCATTGTGGAAAGCAGTATGGAGGTTCCTCAAAATGCTCAAAATAGAAATACTATTTGACCCAGGAATTTCACTTCTAGGAATTTACCCTAACAATGCAGCACTCCAGTTTGAAAAAGACAGATGCACCCCTATGTTTATCACAGCACTATTTACAATAGCCAAGATGTGGAAGCAACCTAAATGTCCATCAGTAGATGAATGGATAAAGAACACGTGGTATATATACACAATGGAATATTACTCAGCTATAAGAAAAAAACACATCTTAGCATTTGCAACAACATGGATAGAGCTAGAGGGTATTATACTCAGTGAATTAAGCCAGGCGGGGAAAGACAAGTACCAAATCATTTCACTCATATGTGGAGTATAAGAACAAAAGAAAACTGAAGGAACAAAACAGCAGCAGAAGCATAGAACCCAAGAATGGATAACAGTTACCAAAGGGAAAGGGATTGGGGAGGACGGGTTGGTAGGGAGGGATAAGGGTGGGAAAAAAGAAAGGGGGCATTACGATTAACATGTGTAGTGTGTGTGGGGGCACGGGGAGGGCTGTGCAACACAGAGAAGACAAGTAGTGATTTTACAGTATCTTACTATGTTGATGGACCGTGACTGTGAATGGGTATGTGGGGGGGACTTGGTGAAGGGGGAGCCTAGTAAACATGATGTCCTTCATGTAATTGTAGATTAATGATACCAAAATAAAACTAATAAAAAAATCTATTAATGTAATCCATCACACCACAGGCTAATAAAACAAAAATCACATGATCATATCACTAGATGCAGAAAAAGTATTTTACAAAATCTAACAGCCATTTCAGTAAACCAGGAAGAGAGTGGAGCTTCCTCAACTCAACAAAGGATATCTCCAAAATCCTCACAGCTAACATCATACTTACAGGTGTGAAACTCAAAGCTTTCCATGTAATACCAGGTACAAGGCAAGAAAATCCTCTCACCACTCCTTTTAAACACTGTACTGAGAAGAAAGAAAGAAAGGAAAGAAAGGAGAGAGAGAGACAGAGAGAGAGAAAGAAAGACGAAAAGAAGGAAGGAAAAAGCAAGGAAGGAAGGAAGGAAGAAAGGAAGGAAGGGAGGGAATAAAATTTATTCTTATATATAAATATTATACTCTTATAAAACATATCCAATAAAAATTTTGAAAAAGATCAAAGTTGGAGGACTTATATTATGTGACTTAAAGACTTATGACAAAGGTACAATAATCGAAATGGTGTGGCATTGATGTAAAGATTAAATAAAGAAAGAAAAGGAAATGAGAAGGAAAGAAAAGGTACTTAGGTTGGGAAGAAAAGAATAAAACTTTGCAAACGACATGATCATCTATACAGAAAATTCATAAGAATTGGCAAAAAAAATCTCCTTGAATTAATAAGCAATTATAGCAAGGTTGTAAAATAAAAGTCAATCAGTTTCCTATATGCCAGCAATGAACAGGTAGAATTTGAAATTAAAAACTCATATCATTTATGTTAGCACTCAAAAATATGAAATACTTAGGTATAAATCTAACAAAACATTCTGAAATTTACATGGAAATGTAAAAGACCTAGAATATCCAATAAAATTTTAGAAAAAGATCAAAGTTGGAGGACTTATATTAGGTGACTTAAAGACTTATGACAAAGGTACAATAATCGAAATGGTGTGGCACTGATGTAAAGATTAAACAAATGGACCAGTGGAAAAGAATGGAGAGTCCGAAAACAGACCAATATATAAATGGACAATTGATTTTTGATAAAAGTAGAATAATTCTGTAGAGGAAGAATAAGCTTTTTTTTTTAAATAGCACTGAGACAGATACCCAAGTGCAAAGAAGAACAAAAACTGAATATCTATTTATACCTTACTATATAGAAAATAAACTCAAAGTAGATAATAATCCTAATGTAAAACATAAGGCTATTAAAATTTCTGGGAAAAAAACAAAGCACCAAATCTTTATGAATTTAGGTAGTAAAAGATTTCTAACTGGACTTCATCAAAATTAAGAATTTTTGCTCTTTAAAAGATTGCTAAGAAAATGAAAAATATAAGCCAGAGATGGGGAAAAAATATTTGTGAAATATATCTGACAAATGACACATAAAAGGATATGTTAAAAAATTCTTACAACTCAGTAATAAAAAACAACCTAGTTAAAAAAAGGTAAAAATCTGAACAGATACTTTACCAAAGAAGACATACTAATGACTAGTAAGCACGTGCAAAGATCGATTAGTCATCAGGAAAATGCGTACTAAAGCCACAGTCACCCCTGGGCTTACTGGAGTCAGAGCCGAGCGCACGCTGTCTCCCAGCAGGGAATCACTACTTCCGTGCAGTTCCCCAGGGATGACACCTCTTGTCCATGCCTCCAGCATCCTGAGGCACGGAGTCGTGGAGAGCTTTAGAGGACCAACAGTTCCCCTGATTCTCAGTGGGCGTAGGGAATGTTCAGGGCTCAGCAGACACCTGGCAGGTCCCGTGCCCACACCCCCGACATCAGTACCTTGGATGATCTGCTGCTGCTGCTGTCGGATTCCATCAACACCCAAGCCTCTGGTCTCCTCTGGCTCCTCCAAGAGCCAAGGGCTGGGTACTCCTCGCTTAGCCCCTCCAGTCATCAGGCTGGACCTGAAAACAGGATTAAATGTGTCACATAACTCAAAAAATATAGCTTTGCTGCAAATTACTACCACAAGTGCAGAGGTGGCCAGCCTCACATGCTTTGAAAATTCAATTAAACTGCAATGTATTGCACCCTTAGTTTATGCCAGCAACCATGTTCAGTGCTAGAAGAGATACGAGCATGAATAAGGCAGGGATGTGAAGGAGACTATGATAGCATTTAGTACTCTTACTAATCTCCAAGATATATTTGAGTCAATACACATAAAGGAAAGTCTTAAATTTCAAAACACAAGACCAAATGGAGGTGGCCTTTTTATTAGGACAAAGCTTGTCTCACAGGCTATGTGAGACCAAAGGCACTGATATTATTTCTCAAGAAGATACAATGTTACAACTATAAATTAGAGCATTAAAAAATTACCATATACTTTCTTATCAAAGGGCGTTGGTTGGTCACTGATTAAAGCACATGCAGGTTTCAAATCTGGTTTTATGAATATAATGTAGCATTTATAACATAATAAACAAATTCTAAATTATCGATTTTAATCCTTCTCCCTCTAGTACTAACATGCCCCTCCTGTGCCAGACATATTAATATGTCTCCTTGCTGTCCAAGGAACAGGGAACACACATTTTCAGCCTCAGACCCCATGATTACAGGATTTTGTTCATCTCAACTAAGTCCTCTCCTGTCCCCACCTACCCACATTCTGTCCATGAGACAAGGACCATCTTGTTCATGAAACCGTCTCTGACCAGTTCAGTCCAGACATGAACACTCATTTGCTTTAGAACGCAGTTCGTAAGATTCACAAAAAATTATGCTAATGATGACAGTGACATAACAGTAGCAGCATTAACAGTAATTAGCCGCCATGTTTAAGCATTTGCTATGTGTGAGCACAGTTCCAGGCGAGTTACACCTATTCACCCCCATCTCCACTACTTGTAATTCTTCTAGCACTTTTCACACTTTTCATATTGTCCAGAAAGAAGTGCTTCTCTACAGCTCAGCCTTTTACGTAAACTTTGTGTCTACTAGACAGGAGGCAGGAACTGAAAATCGCCCTTGACTAAGACTTCATGCTGCTCCCCAGCATGGAGGGAAGAGCTGTGAGCACAAGCTCACATCTTGGCTCCACCATCTACCAGCAATCAATTAGCATGGAGGGAAGAGCTGTGAGCACAAGCTCACATCTTGGCTCCACCATCTACCAGCAATCAATGGATAGTAATTTCTAATTTCTACCTCAGGGGCTGCTGAGGATTAAAGAAAAAAATTCGTTTATTCAAAAAGCATTTCCTTAGTACTACTTACTATGTGGTAAGCATTGTTCTCATCAGTGGGGATGAAACAAAAATAGAACACAGACCAAATAGACCAAAACCTCTGCCCTTACAAAGTATAAACTCTGGTTGTGGGTGCCGCTTCCATTCTGGCAAGGAGGGGGAACAATGTGTAAAATGTGTACAAAGTGTTTAATGCAGTGCTTGGAAGATAAAAATCATTCAACAAGGTTAACTATTATCATTTTACCCATTAATACACTATATACAAAGGATCCAGTGAACTGTTTTTTCATAAATGAGTATACTGCAAAAGGCTATATTAACTTCATTTGTAGCTGGGCACTATAAAACCTATAAAAGAATACAGTATGCATCATGAATCAAACCCAGGCAAAACTGGGAGAAAAATTTTGAGTCCTTAGACTAAGACTTTAAACACAGAGCTGGTCTCTCTGCCCAAGTGTACTCACACGCCAAATACAAGTGCAACTTTCTTCCACTTTACCAAGAAGGCAGAGGTGTTTCTTTAAAGCCTTACTTTCCTTGGTTGACCCAGTAGAAAATACCAAGATTTTGTATTTATTCTCTACAACATTATTCAATTTCACCTACCTTTGAAGATGGGGAAGAAAGCAATGGAAGAAAGGAAGGAAGAAGGCAATTTACAAAGTACACTTGAGTACTCTAATACCAGCTGGCAAGAGGCACCTCTTCACCAAAACAGGAGTTTGGGATGCCGTGTGTGGACCATCACAAAAGTAAGTGCTAAAAACCAGTACAATGAGTCGGAGGTTTATAATGCAACCTTCAAAGTACATCTGTCACCAGCTCTGAGCATCCATTCAAATTAGGACATTGCACCTGAGTTGACAGTAGACATTGCTCCTCTAAACTAATGTTGTCATGTGCCACCTACAGCATACATGTAAAAATTGAGGGAAAAAAGTGTAAGAAAATTTTAGCAACCAAAAAACAGCAAATCAGAACTACAGCCATTAATTACGCACATACATATCTACTAGACAATAACAGTACAAAATGGGTACAATTTAATATCAAACACGTATCAACCACCAGACATACAGAGATTTCCCAAGGCTGAATTCAGACCTACAAAAATTCTAAGAACTGAAATAACTATTTTAGTCTCACTCTCACATAGTTCAACACAAAAGCCATCATGAAATAAGAAACAGTTTGCCAAAGGATGCTGAGGGAAAAATTATTCCCTAATGCCTTCTTTCTGGGTTATCTGATTTCACATTTT